ATGATGTCGCTGCTCGCAAACAATCGCCAAGATGGGCATCAGTAAGTCGAGATCTGTGTTTTGATTTCATAATGTTCGTGGTTGAACTGCCTTCATTATTCAGTATAAACTCTTTCCGTAACATTGTGGGCACCCAAAAAATGCCTTGGCAGGCACCGCGTTGGGGACAAATTCTAACTTGGTCCTTAACAAACTTGCCATTTCATATGCTACTCTGAGGATTTGCAACATTTTTAATATGGTAAATGTTTAGTGAAATCTGAAGAAAATTCATTCTTGAGGCTGTGCAGTGTATTGTAATTTGTTTTTCAACAGTAGCCTATCTGCTGCAGTAATAAGAATTGTATCTGCAGTAATTAAACTTTCAGGAAAATTAGGTACTTAAAGTAATTACTGATGAGTGTCAGCATTTATAATGCATTATATTTGTATGTTTTCTTTGTCAGTCTGAACGTAACTATATAATGGAGGTAGTTTGTGAAGCTACGCAGTCTTCAGACACGCAGGTTCGAGTCGCGGCACTACAATGTCTGGTAAAGATTATGTCTCTGTATTACCAATACATGGAAACATACATGGGGCAGGCATTATTTCCCATCACCTTGGAAGCTATGAAATCGGATATTGATGAAGTTGCGTTACAAGGCATTGAATTCTGGTCCAACGTGAGTGATGAAGAAGTGGACTTGGCCATAGAGGACAGTGAAGCAGCGGAAGCGGGACGGCCACCTCAAAGGACTTCTAGGTTCTATGCAAAAGGAGCACTACAGTTTCTTGTTCCTGTTTTAGTGCAGAAACTTACAAAGCAGGTTAGTTGAGAACATTAATATGGTAGAATATCAGAGTGTTAATCAGTTCATTAATCAAAATTTGAACTTTACTTTTCCTCTTCAAATTAACATGGTCATACTTGCTGTAGTTTCTTCTTACTCTGCATTCTTTGCATAGAATGTATGGAATGACGCAATGTAGGTGAATTTACATCTGTTCCTGGGCTTTATTTCCTAAGTATCAGAATGTAATTGAATGAAATTTGATTCTGGGGATTTACACAAATCTGTTGTGGAAATGTAATTTTAGTTCATCTTAATTCATTATTACATCTATACTTTATGTGAGGCTCATACATAAATATTGAAATGGCAAATATCCATTCTGATACATATTTTCTCTCTTGAATTTTGCTTGGAGTTTGTAGCCGCAATAAAGTTTTCCAATCCAAACGTTACAGCTCACACTCTGATATTTGTATTTCTTTGATGTTTCATTTCACTTTTCAGGAGGAATATGATGATGAGGATGATTGGAACCCCAGTAAAGCAGCAGGTGTATGTCTCATGCTGCTGGCTACATGCTGCGAAGATAATATTGTGCCATTTGTTCTCCCCTTTGTCAAAGACAACATCAAAAGTGCTGATTGGAGGTTCAGGGATGCTGCCCTCATGGCTTTTGGTAAGATGTATTTGTATGGCGTAGAGTATGGTGGTCCATCCTTTTTCTTTCCTTTGGCCAAGAATAATTTTCCCTTTGGGGCCAGTGACTAAAAAACCTCTTCTGTCACTTCTTCTTCTTCTTCGATGGCTCTCTGGTCTGTGTTCGGTCCACAGCCTCCTCAATTCTCCTCTTCCATTTGGTCCTCTGTTAGGTCCGTCTGTCCGAGGCTTTGATCGAGGTTTCAAAACATCTTCCTTTTTACGGTGCAAGGTTGTTAGCCTTGCGACCAACCCCCAACCTGGAGGACCAGTGTACCTGTCTTAGTGTGACCTCTCCCCCTCGACCAATCTGGCTAGGGAGACCCTACCAGAAGCTATGCTACCGCCAGCGTAGCTCTTGGGGTCACTGAGGTACTCGAGCCCCACCACCACGACAAGGTGCAGGTGCCATTAACAGTACTTAATTCATAAATGACAAATGACAATTGTACATGGTGAAATATAAATTTTACTTAAATGTACATGAATTACTATGCACTCACATTGTATCTATATCCTTCATATTTTTTGTTAATCGCTATATAAAATTTCATTCTATATAATCTAAGCTTCTGCAAGTGTCATCAAATAAACCATAAATTAATAAATGTACCTGCTTCCGTAATATCCATCTAAATGTAATCCGTCCCTTCTCCGTCTTCCAACTGGCTGTTTTTGAAGAGGTTTTTCCACCGAAGTTCCCAGTCTCCCTCCTCAATTCTTAACGCATATCCATATAATTCTAATTGCAGGCATTTGTCTGGCACTTATGGCGTGTACTGAACGTCAGTGGTTCTTTTCAGGATCGATTCTTGGTGGATTGGATGTGGGTACCTTGAAACCACTTGTAGAACAGGCAATGCCAACACTAATAGAGGCCATGTATGACACTAGCGTTGTAGTGAGGGATACGGCAGCTTGGACATTTGGCCGTGTGTGCGAGATTATCCCTGACGCAGCTATTAATGAGACGTATTTGAAACCACTTTTGGAGAGTCTAGTCGCTGGATTGAAGTCGGAACCCAGAGTTGCGGCAAATGTGTGTTGGGCATTTACTGGCTTGGCAGAGGCAAGCTATGAGCAGGCAGAAGGAAACGAGGATGAGGCACAGCCAGACACATACTGCTTATCGGAATACTTTGAGTTTATTGTGCAGAGACTGCTTGAAACAACAGACAGACCAGATGGAGCACAGGTATGACTTGGGTTTCATGTTGGAAGTAAGATATTAGCTTGCGGATGTAAGTGGTAACATAACTTTAGAACCAGGCATGCTCGTGACTTACAATGGTCTTGCACATGTTTATTTGTCTTTAGTATAATAAGTGCAGTTTTCTGGAGCATGTCACTTATTCATCATTTTACTCAGCATCATACTCTCTTTAAAATTTTACGAAACAGATGCCATTTTCTTTTTTCATTATTGTTTAACGTTATGACTGGAAATCATTGAAATCTTTAACAGTGTAGGCCATTCTGTACTGTCAGTCAAAATTAAATTAAATTAATAGCGTATTACATGCGCGTTGAAATGGTAATACGTTCTAACCTCAAAATGGCATTGACATCATCCTGATCCAAATAATACGTAATTGTATTCTGCCGAGGAAATAGTTTTTAATAGCGTAAGGTGTAGATTCACGAAACTTTGTACACGGTTTTAGGACTAGGAAAGTTGGGTTAAGGCTTTTATGTTCTTTAATGGAATATTTCATAATGTGGCATAGATTAAGAGTAACTGACATGGGAAAGAATGTATTATTTGTGCATCGCTTATGCACAGGCTAATCTGCGATCAGCAGCGTACGAAGCTTTGATGGAAATGGTAAAGAACTCTCCACGAGACTGCTACGTAACTGTGCAGAAGACCACAATGGTTATTTTGGAGCGACTGCAACAGGTGCTGCAGATGGAAACGCACATTCAGAGCCACAGTGACCGAGCGCAGTACAACGACTTGCAGAGCCTCCTCTGTGCAACTTTGCAGGTGAGACAGTGACCATTTGCCTTCATCTACTGCAGAGATTAAGAATGCAGCTCCACCTATAGTTATTCCTTTTAGTGTGATGTTTCCCTTATCTGATATTAGAGATTCTGAAAGTTTTCCATACGTGGGGCCACAGTCACCCTTTCTTATCAACTCAAAGTTCACAAGGTTATGAGCGAAGATACTTTGACACTCTGTTGAAATGCCACGGTAGTTCATTAAAAATGCTGATGAAACAGGCCTTCTGTTGCAGACAAGTTCAGATGTTGAATTTTGTGTAATAGAATCTGTTATTCTGCGTTTGCTTGAGTAAT